AAGATAATGTCCTTTGTTAAAAATCCCCAAAGATTCTAAAGATACCAACTTTTTCTGTGAGACTCAAATACCAATCATAGTGTTCATGGTTAGATATTCTTTCACTTTTTGAAAGTAGCCTAGAGATCTTAAAAAAATAGTTGATAATTTTGTTTTTAAATTATCAAAATAAGTTAAGCCACGTTATACTAGAATCTAGTTAAAACTGTTTATATGAGAACCCCAATATGTGCAAATAAAAATCTTTCTCTTTTGCAGCCAAAACGTCAGCTATCAGCTGGGAGGAGCAGGATTAACCTTCCCACAAAGTCTCTGGATGATGAGCTGCTACATTGCAGATCCACTCCCCAATCTCCAACTAAACCTGCACAGGTTTGCTTTGTGATTAAATTACTTTTTTCAAATTTAAAATTGTCTATTAAAAGAAAAATAATAACATAAATTAAGTCAAATTTTGCTATCTCCATTTTGCTATTCTCTTATATGCTGTGGACTTTGGCTCCTGTTTTTTTTTTTTTTTTTTTTATTTAGAGAAATTTAGGAGACACTACTCTGTGGGCAGTTTTACCAAACACATGGTCAAGACAAAATTCTGGACAACATGAAGTTGTTGATGACAGAGACAAGAAGGTAGGAATGTCAAAGAGAGAAATTCGACTAACTGCAATTTGCATAATCAATGGGCAACACCATGGAGCCAGCGGCGGATCTGGAGGGGTGGCCTTCCTATGGCCAACCACTGACCAACCTTCTGAATCTTTTAGTTAAATTTGTTTTAGCAAAATAATAACACTTTTCTCAGGACTTGTTTCTAAAACAATGTTTCTAACAATGAAAATGGAAAAAAAAAAAAAAGATAAGCCGTACCTGCCAAGAGTTTCACCCTCAGTCGCAGGAACGGGCCTCTCTTAGATGAGAAAACGGATTGAAATATCTCTCAAGTAGCTACTTTTATCTTGTCCCTAATGTTTTCATATTTTTTATCCATAATGGCATCAAAGGGGGTATTCTTGTTGGCAGATAAATTCAATTAAATGCCTTTTTGACACTGTAACAGAGACCTGTATGAATTGATGTGTTACATTCAGTGTTTAACGAATATGTTCTTTTGCTATCAACACTATTCTATCTATTTGATTTTGATTTAATCCCTTGTCAGGGATTAAAGTGGCCCCCTTACCAGGTAATTTGTTGTTAACCACCAGGATGTAAATCATAACCTCTGGGTGATGCAGTTCTTTTCTAAACCAGAGGATGGCAGCAGTGACACAATCATGTAGAATGTCCTACTTTGACATTTCATTGTTTCTGCCAATATAAGCAGATCTAAAAAAACATTTGAAAATGTAACTTAACATCATTAGGCCTTTGTTACAATTAGAATTCAATCATCTCCATTAATTTCTGGTTTCTATTTCTCTTTCAAACAGACCTATCAAGAGAATTCTACTCCACCACCACTTCCGATAAGGACATGGTCAAGACAAAATTCTGGACAAAATGAAACCACTGATAATGACAGAGAGAGGGTAATATATGTTTCTTTTAGGGCCAGAAAAATCAGTAAGATTAAACAGGCAACCTGTATGATTAACAGTTGGCAGACAAAAATTGTTTTCAAGGTATACTCTTATTTGTTTACTCTGACCTATGTCAGCATGAGACCAAGTGTATGATCACCTGCAGCTTTTAAAGTTGTGCCATAAACAATTTTTTTTGTAACTAGGATGGATCATCTGTTTCCTACAAGGCAAAGACACGTGAGTGATGAGATTGAAATATTTGATGTCCCATTGATGTTATTTGCCCCTTTGCCATTTCAAAATTTTGCAATTTTTGGATATATATTTTTATATCCAACCTTTGGACAAATTACATTTTGCACTGCCTATTTGTCAGTTTTAAGTTGCCTTGGGCACATTCTGTATCCATTTTTTTTTTTATTTTATTTAGCTTTAATAAAAGAATATCTTCAACAGTCTATTTCAGGGAAATCCTTTAACGTGATTTCAGTAAGTAAAATGCACGAACAGCTGATTAATCATAGTTCCTTCTGTTGGTTAAGTAAGGGATTGTATGAATTATAAGCAATAATTCATTATTTTGAAGGTGGTTTACTATTTTAAATGAAAATGGCTGAAAACAAGTGACATGAATTAAAGGTATCATTTTAGATTGAACATGGTATGACATCTCTCTGTGTTTTCCTCCAGTCATTTGGTAAAAAGGTGAACTGGTGGTGCATCCATGTCAATATCTTTTACTTTGAGCTAAGCCCTGCCCTGCCTCTTAAATGCATCTGCTAAGGCTCTGTGGGAGCACATTCAGCTAATCAAAATGTCACACATCTTGTTTTGGTCGACATATGGTTCTCAACAGTCCACCTAGTGGTGAAATTTCACTCGCATGTCCTGCAATGTAAGCTGGCTGACCAAAATTGGAAATACTTTATGCATAAGGTTTTAGCATGTCTATTTCGTTCAGTGACTAATTAGAACGCTACCATCAAAAGTATCAAGAGAAATAAACTTTTTCTGATAAGTACGGCTTTAATGTTTTTCGGTTTAAGGAGAAAAATCATTGAAATGAATATTCATATCTGGCGAAGGGGCAAATTGGAGGCCTTTGTTACTAAACTGTTTTTGTTAATGTGCAGCATGGAGGGATGTTGTGAGGGATCTCCAATTGAAAGGATTATCCATAGAACAGTAAGTAAACTCTTACTTTAGTTGTTGTCGTTACTTTTTAATAAGACATTTCCTGATAGTTGGTTTTGGAATATAGAACCAGTGATGTCAAAAGAATTAATGTTTATTACTCAAGTAGAACTATAAATCATACTGTTTAAAATACTTTTGTAGGAGTTAAGAGTTTCATATTAAGCTTTTTACTCAAGTAAAATTGTAAAAGTACAATTTTTGAAACTGCCTAAAGTATAAAAGTAAAAGTAATGCAGGAAAAATTTTGACACGGATGCTTTAAATGTTATACTGGTTATTGAACTACCTTAATAAAGGAACATGTTTCTACAATTCTGGATGATAACTTCCTTATACTTTTCTTTTGTTTTATAACCAATGGTAACATTGTCAAATTTAACATTGCATCCTCTTAAAAGAGTATGTGGTATGTGGTTAACAACAAGTTGTTGTAGTACTGAGTATAACTACAAGATAATTATTTTTCTGGATGAAACAAATTATTCTGTTGGTTGTAATTTTTTTATATATATCAACATGCCATAACAAAAACTGGATTAAATGAAACAAAACTAAAGAATATATTTCTAAAATTTGAGAGGTAGACAGTAGAGATAATTGCAAAAAACAGAGAGTAGAAGTAAAAACTTGCCTAAACAATGATTACGCCAGCAAAATATAGATAACCAAAATTTCTGCTTAAGTGAGGTAATGAAGTATTTGTACTTTGTTACCTCTGTCAAGAACACAATGCAGTGGAATAGTTGGTAGCCCTGCAGCCTTGCAGAAAAAATACCCAAGGTTGAAGTCTCAGCCTCGGGTCACTGCAGCTCCCTTACACATACATAGCTGTTGAATAGTTATTCTGAATTGCCCCTGGCTAAAAATCAATGGATAAATATACATTTTGTATTATACACATGTATTACATCTAAGTTTTTCAGCTAATCCAAGCTTTGTAATTGCCTCTAAGTACATGCTCCAAATCAGTGGCCCTCAAAAATGTCACACTTAGGCTGTCTAAATATCTTCATACTAGCAGACATTTGGACTTTTTTCAGAAAAAGAACTGACCACCCACTGAGAAAAGGGTGGAAAACCTGCCAATATCAAAATGGATATTAACACAATGTTGAATTCAGATTATTCTGATTGTTCTCAAAATAATCCACACTAGTTTTCTTTTAAAAATATCAGTTTTGTATTAATGGTCAAAGTATTTGAAAAATGTATATTTAGCTTTCAGTCCACTTAGTTTAATTAGCACTGTAGTTTATTTATAATTGGTCCATAACACCTAACGGCAACCTGAATCTGAACAATGCTAAGACAAAACTATTAGTTTTAATATTATAATCTAAATGTCATTATTTTATAACTTAAATGACTGAAGTATAGAAGATAAACTTTACCCTCATTGGTAACAGTGAGTGTAACTAAAGGGGTACTTTACAGGTAGCTGAAATGTTTTGAACCTTTTTACTCAACTGTTTAAACTACTCGAATATTATTGGTATATTCCAGAGTCGTTACTGTCAAAGCTGAGCATCTGTACAAAGCAATCCAGTCTTACATTGAGCTGATGGACAGACATGGTGGAGAGCTTAAGGAGCTCATCTTAGAGCTACAGAATATTGCGGACAACTTGGATAAGGTAATGTCACATTATTTAGTTCTACACAACAAATGGAAGTCAATGTCCATATATGCAAATCAGAGGCATGCAGAGCTGCCTTTCTCTCCTTTGAATGCCGTAGTACCTTTTGCTGAGTCAAGCTCCTCTAATCATTTTAAGGTTTCAAAAGGAACCAAGATTGCTGGTATCACTGGAGGTGCATCATCAGTTGCAGGAGGGGTGGCAGCTGCCGCCGGGGTGATTCTGGCCCCTTTCACAGCGGGAGCCTCACTGGCCCTCACTGTGGTTGGTGCTGGTGTGGCTGCAGCCGGCGGTGTCACTGGTGCATCAGCAGCCATTGCAAACAAGGTAACCTAAAGCTTATTGTTAATGGCTTATTTAGATATAAGACTGCCCCTAATTAGACAATAATACAGCTGCAGAGTGATCGATAGGTTGCAATGATATATTACTTTAACTGAAATCACACATTTTGTGAAAACCTCTCCGTTTTCTGCTCAAATTTTTTTTTCCACAATCTTCAATTTTGTGTTTTATTAAGATTTTTTGATTGGACTGCATACACTAAAACTGTCAGGATTTGGTTGTGGTTTGTTGACCCAAATGCAGAGACAGGGAGGCAGAGGTGATTTTCTTGTGGGTTTAATTAAAGGTTAACTGAACACAGAGGCAGGAAATACAAAAATCCAAACATGAAAAAAAGTCCAAACAAACCGGAAACCAGGAATCCAAAAATCAAAACATGAAAACAAAGTCAAAACAAACCAGAAACCATGGAGACACAAGGGGGGATACTATCACGAGGAGAAAGGCTCAGAGAGACGTTGGAGGAAGTTAGACGAGAAGTTACAAGGAACCAGCACTGAAGAACTGCACAGAGAGAGTATTTATGGGAGACTGAAACAAAGACAGAGCTAACGAGCAGATTGGGAGCAAGTGTGAACAGAGCAGAAACGGGAAAGGAGCTAGGGAAAAAGGAGAACACAAGAGGGCAGCAGAGGGCAACAAATAAAAACCTGAGAACTGAAAATAACATAACAAGATAAGAATGAAACCACTAAAACTAGATCTCATGTAACAAAGTAAAACAGAACCAAGGCTATAACAAAAACATGACTGAAGTGGAGGGAAAATGACCCATAATCAAAAACCTTTGGGCTTTCATGATTTGGACAATAAGATAGTTTTCCATAAAGCTATTTAAAATAGCTCAAGTTCAGAATGACTGGATGAAAAATATCTGAACGGTCATTTTCAAGCCTTTTCAGCCGTATTCCTGGACATTGACTGAACCTTTATAGCACATGTATCCTTTATACTTTAAAATAAAGTAGCGGTGTGTTAAAAGGACAGTATCCTGCATATTTTTAAAATATATTTTACACATTTCTTTAAATCAAACAAACGTTAACTTTGTTTACTAACTAGCTGTGGGTCTTATTATTTTTTGATAAATAAAAATATTAAATCCACAACTTTATTTTTCTTTCAATTCACAAATATGTACTATTTTTTTGTTGCTCTGCAATGCATAAAAAAGAAAAAGAAACCAATTTTTTTGTGTGTCTTTTGTAACTTGTCAAGTGTAATATTTTGACAGGTCTGAAAACTAAGTAGACGTAACTGGCAAAATCTGTATTTGGTGTATATAGTGTAAATGGATTGCACTTTGTTGAGAAAAAGAAATAAAAAAGGCAGTAACAGGAGTCCTTTACATTATTAATGTTGCTGTATAATTGCAAATTGAAATGTTGTTGCACTTTTGTTGATTTATACCCTATTGGATGTGAACTTATTTTCATCTATGTTTTCTAAAATGTATGCTCTTTCATTTTGTCTTCAGCTGACAAATATACAAAAGTATTAAAAGTTTCCATATTGTCTTACAAATATAGCAAACTTACCTACAACAAAACAGAAAATGGTTCCCAGTTAACAATAAATATATGAGGTACAGTTTTTTTTCCCAGATGTATGTAATAATTAGGAACAATAAACCCAAAGCAAAATAGTCCTGATAACATTTTTCTGTGTGTAATTTTTACATTTCTGATGTGTTTTTCAGGCAAATTTAACTCAAGACAATAAGAAAATCGAAAAAACCTTGCAGGAATTTAAGGAACGTTCTGAAGAAATTCTAACATGCTTGAAGTTCATCAATGAAGGCATGGACCTGCTGAAGCAGCATGGTCTGGCTCCTCTTGAAGACATGGTGGATAAAAAGAGGCTGAATTCGTGGACGGCAGTCTCTGTGGTGCAGCTCACTCTAGGGAAAGCGAGTGCCATAGCATCAGATAAGAGCAGCAATGCTTCTGGAATGCTGGATGGCTTCAAACTTGGCATGGATTACTACTTCACCAAAGATGGGAGGAAAGTGAAGAGAGGTCTCGAGTCAAAGCTCGCAAAGAAGCTCCGGAAAATAGCAGAAGACCTTGACCTTGCATTGAAAGAGCTTCATAAAATAAAAGATGTCTTCAGTGAGAGTGCCTAAAGATATTAAGTATTTTACAGAGTAGAGCTTTGGGATTTAGATCCGGTTATGGTTTGATTTGGGTTTCTTATAGAATAAAGTAGAATTTTAAAATGTTAATCATCATAGATTCAATGATTATAAACACTAGATTATGTGCTTGTATCTGTATTTAATCATATCTAGTATATTGGCTGCTTTGAAAAAACCTTGTGATTTTAATGAATGAGCCCTACATAATAAAGTTCTGCAGACAATGATCAGCTATTACAGCAAAATAAGTACTGCTATTTGTGTCTATCTTTAGTGTAGCTTTACTGTCTCTTCTTGACATTAAATGTAACTTCAATGCACACAATTACCTCTAGGGGGCAATCCAGTTTAACTCTCTACTAATGACTGTCCTGAACAGACTCAACCCCACTTAACTCTATTTATTCACTGGAATGCTGATTGTCCTTTGATAGTATGGGGTGGAAAAAAGCCACAGGCTTCCATATTGGTACTCCCTAGTTAGACTGGTATCAATGTGAACAATATATGCGCTACATCATCGAACAACGTTGATGTTCTCATGTTTAGTTTTGAAACTTTCAAAATAAAGAGAAATTCATCACTTCGCCACACACTTGCTGTTTCATAGTATAAGTAGTTTAATGTAACTTATGGTTAAAAAAAAAAAAAGGCACATCACATTGCATAGTCATTATGAAGTCAATGAAATCTATAAATCACTTAATATAAAATATAATGCCAATCACCACAACTAAATGTATGCGTTGATGGAGCACAATAATACAGATGTGGCAAAAGTGATAAATTTATTATATATATTTATGATATACATTTATTGATTGCATTGTTATGGTAATAAGATATTGCATATAATTTCAAGATTTTACATCAAGACTGAATTACAAGTGCATGTCTTTTAATGCAATAGTATTTTTCTATTTGCAAATTTTGCATGCATGATGCCATATACTTTTTTGCTGTGTCTATGCATTAGCCTTTAAAAATGTTTGAGTTGGGGGTTTTTTCACCAATATAACATGCAATAGGTTTTAGCACATGACTGGAATGATAAATACACCAAACACTACAAAAACGACAGCGTCATCCACATATATAGAATTACTACATTGACATTTCACTGTGAATTACTTTCTATTTACTCTACTTTCAATTTTCTAACATTAGACACAATGTCAATGGCTCAGTCAATGGAGTCAGTGTGAGATAGCCAGACTAATGTTACGTTACATACTATACTATGGTATACATGGCCGTATATATGGATTTTCTTGGTTAGTAAATCCACCGACTGTGAAATCACCTTTGAAACATCGTCTCACAGCTGACAAACTGCTTTTTTTGCAGCTAAATGTTACAAACGTAGGCCTTTTTACTGTGCATGCCCGTGGGAGTGGGGAGTACCAATATGCCGGCCGGTTGCTTCACTTTGTTCGGGCAAACAGCAATCTAGTAAAAAATAGAGATCAGTGCTCAACCCCCAGAGACCAACAGCAGACAAGAACATATGCTGCACAGCAGAAAGAATATGTATCTAACCAAACATCTTTACCTAAACATGTAAGGCAAGGCAAGGCAAATTTATTTGTATAGCACAATTCAGTACACAATTCAGTGCTTTACATGAATAAAATATAGGAAAATAAAACAGAATCAAAGCAAGTAGGAAAAAAAATTTTAAAAACGCAGAAACAAAAAAAGAACATTAAAAACAGCTGGACTAAAGAAAATAAAAAAGTTGAACTAATGATTTTTCAGGTGAACTGTTTAACTAGAACAGTCCAAGGCAATCCAAAACAAATGTGTTCGTCCAAATGTACAGGTACATCTGAACAGATTTGAGTTTTGTTGAAGATTATTTCAAAGCTTCATTGTTTCAGTAAATTAATTTAAAAAACAACAACAGAACAATAATATATTCCAGGCAGTTATTGTGTGTAAATAATTATGACTTACCGTTACCAAAACTGAAAATGTGGTTTTTACAAGTTTATTAAACAAATAAATTAAAAACTGGATTTTTTTTTTCAAATACTGATGTGGTCCTAACCAGAGCTGTCCTAATCATGTGTTTGGGGATCATTCACTTGAATATTTTAAATCCATTACTCCTGCATAGTTAAGTTCAATTTGGAAGAAAATTAATCTAATTGAAATCAGACCAAGATTGGGATGAGCCTGCTAATGACTCGGGTGTGGTAAACGTGTAACGTCTAAACAATACAACACACTGGTCTCTAAGGGCTGCCTTTTGGCTACCACTGACCTTTCCATTCAATGGGAAGACTGTTTGCCTCTTTAAAATGTTGCTGGAGTCCTTTCCTCAGAAGATATTTGCCCCTAAACCTCTAAAGACTTCTGACTTACAATTGAAGATGTCCGGCTGACCCTTCACAAGGAAGGAAGGCCACAATAAGTTGTTTCTAAAGAGGAAGGCTCACAGAATGCCGTATTCAATCATATTATCGGAAAGCTGAGTGGAAGGAAAATAATTCGTGGATAACTCTGCTAAACCTAGGTTTAAAATGAATATGAAGCAAAGCTCATTATAGAGTTTTAAAGAGAATTTGCAGATTGTGGAGATAGGTATAGGCTGTGAATGCTCAAGGACAACTTCAAAAGTCTCATATCAGATAGAAAGTGAACATATAGGGACACCAAATAAAAAAAAATTAAAAAAAATTTTTACAAACAGAACACCACTCAGCTTAAAAAAAGACTCAAACAAATACTCAACATAAGACTGGGATAAAAATCAACAAGAGCAAGCACAAACATAATAGGAAGGAAACATGAGAGCCAGACTTCCAAATGAGACAGAAAACTACAAAAAAGAACCTAGAAAATAAAAACTAGCTCTCCAAATGCAAGACTTGTATCTATATATATAAAAAAAATAACGAATGACAAGGAAATATGTGTTTTACCTTTTCAGGTAGATTATTGAAGATAATTCACGTATACTTACTTACTGTATACTTACTGTATAAGAAACATCACAAGAAAATGGCTGTAACACAGGAAACTGAATGAAACAGATAGTGCCAATAAGTTCTAATGATTCAAGCGAATTGTCTCAGATACACTCAAACACAAACCCAAAAAACAAACACACATACAAAGACATAATCCAAAAAAAAAACAAGCTAATGTTTCAGCATTTTTGACTTATTTTCAGCTAGAGAACATGAATGCTGGCATGCTGTCAGCTTTTCAAAATATTACTGCATACGTCCTGTCTTCTAATTAGCTACAGTAACTCTGCCGTTCCAAACAAAAATAAAAAAGCCTGCTGTTTTTTAAAAAATACTTTGAAACTTGTGGCAGGCAAAGAAAATGCTACCTCACACCCTTGCAACAAAGAGAGAATAAAGGATAATTATGACCTATATTTGACATATGGAAATATAACTATATTTTGATTTGCTACCTGAAAGACAAACCATCAAAGGCTGAATTTGAATTCAGAAATTCAAATTTCTGAATACAGATCTGTTACACAGATCTCGATGCTGTGTAACAGATCCGGCCTTCGGTAGGTGCATCCTCGAAATTTTAATTCAGCCTTTGATGGTTTGTCTTTAAGGTAGCAATTCAAAACTTCCATAACTTCCATATGTCAACTATAAGTCATAATAGAATCTAAACTACAAATAAAAAATGATTTTTGACACATCTCATTGGTTTTCACCTTATAAATGATATATTCAGAAACATAATATCCATCCATCCATCTTCCTCCACTTATCGGGGGTCGGGTCGCGGGGGCAGCAGCTTAAGAAGGGAGGCCCAGACTTCCCTCTCCCCAGCCACTTCTTCTAGCCCCTCAGGAGGGAACCCCAAGCAATGCGGACCAGACTCTGAAACCGGTCATACAGGGACCTGACAGCCCGTATCAAAGGGCCTGGCACCTCATACTCCCGGAGAACGCCCCACAGGGCTCCCCAAGAAACACGGTCAAACACCTTCTCCAAGTCCACAAAGCACATGTAGACTGGTTGGGCGAACTCCCATGCACCCTCCAGGACCCTGATGAGGTTGCAGAGCTGGTCCAGCGTTCCACGACCAGGACAAAAACCACACTGCTCTTCCTGAATCCGAGGTTCGACTATCCGACGGACCCTTCTCTCCAGCTGAATAGACCTTGCCGGGGAGGCTTAAGAGTGTGACTCCCCTGTAATTGGAGCACACCCTCCGGTCCCCCTTTTTGAATAGGGGGACAACCACCCCAGTCTGCCAATCCAGGGGAACTGCCTCTGATGTCCATGCAATGCAGCAGAGTCGCGTCAGCCAACACAACCCTACAACATCCAGGACCTTGAGGAACTCGGGGCGGATCTCATCCACCCTGGGGGCCCTACCACCGAGGAGCTTTTTAACC